CACCCCAAAAAATGAAATTTCAGAGAAGTATCATTTGCATATTCATACAAATATGAAATGTACTTCTTTAATTCTTTAACATTGAACTTCCTATTTCATCACTTGAATAGAAGTCTTTGTAGATCTTGATAATGATAATAATCAGGGGAAAGAATATTTAAAACATTTCAGTAGTTAAAGTGCTTGCATTTTTAGAGCATTCTAATACTTTATTTTTTATATTTTTCTCTCTTGTTTTCTTAGTATCATTATGCACCTTTGAACAGTTTTAATAGAAAGATGGTGCAACGTGAATGAACTGGGCCATGATGCATGTGATGTATCATGCAAAGCCAAGAAGGGCTGTTCACATTTGAAATATAAGCCAAAGTGCAGATAAACGTTAGAAGGGTTTAACAGATATTCAATGATTTCTGCTTTGTATATGCCTATGATGGCAATGATATAACAATGAGAGATCTAATTTAAAATCACTTTTAAAAGGCCTGCAGTTAAGAAAAATACATTTCATTCATGACTGAAGGATGCAACTGCATAGCAGAAATAAACCTAGAAATATATCTAATTGTAATAAAACAATTTTTTTTAAAGCTAAGAAATATAGGAATACAATTTACATGTGTGTGCATAAAATACCATTAGAGGTTGTGCACAGGAGAAAGGTGGTATGAGATGAATACAAGAGAAATACATATACTCAATGTATGTGTAGACATTTCCAAGGGAAATTTGAATTGTTTTATGCAAATAGTTGTCAGAAGTGTGAATTGGATCACAATATTGATTCCTTAATCCCACGTATTGATTTTGATAGTGCTGTGTTCTTGAGATGCAGCAATTACCTTCAGACCTCTCTCTATAGCATCTGCGCTCGACGACGCCTTCACGATAAACTTAATCCCCAGATAGATTTCTGGTTAGCTCTCTTTCAGTAGCATACCACCTTGATCAATCAAATTAGTTTTATAATTAACGTCCAGGTTTATTATTTGTCTTTGAAAATCGTCATAGTAATGCTAATTTCATTGAAATCATAAAATTGGATGAAAATCGTAGAATTGAGAGGGATATTAAGATTACTCATTCTTTTAAGTTGACATGTAAGGTTTGAATACCAGGAGGAGTCGAGTCGCTGGTTGGTCTGTCCATGGACCTACTACGAACAGGGAAAGAATCATAACTCCTTGTAAGGAGCCTATGTGGGATTAATGATTTCTATAGAACATTGTAGCACAGACATAGACAATGGGAATAGAATTTCATATAATTATAACATACAGAGTTGCAGTGTTAGGATGTATGCAAGATACCGGTGCTGTACACTTTATTAGAATGTATTGAAGCAACCATGTGATGAAAGCCATAGGAAACGGTTTACTTGATCAATTAACTCAGTATTTGATTGTGTCGTGTGAAATAGATATAAGGATGCAACATAATGGATGTTACACGTTTTTTAGCAGTTTTGGAATTTGGTAATTTGGTAAGTCTCATTGTTTTTGATACTTAATTATCTATGATCAATCACAAGTATTGCCAAGTTTTGTTATACCAAAAGCAACCTTTGAAGTTCCAAGCTTTCTTATTTCCTTTTTAACTGAATTTTTGCCAAAGGTTCTCCGAGCTGTTTCTTTCATTTCTTTTGTTTTATATTAATAACAATCTTGATGCTAGATTAAACCTCCCACTTACAAATCTGAGATGCATGGCCCTACGTGTTATCAGTGTCTGTGATATGGTGTAAAATTGAAGCCCCCCAAAAAGCCTATCTGCACTAGTTTGGCCAGGAGGGATTAGACCTCCCTGCATGGTCACTGACATCAAATCAACTCTCAATTTACATAAGAAAAAGGGGACCATGGGGGACCAATGGTCACCGCTTGTAGGCATTGTTTGCTATATAGAGGGCGCAAGTAGCTATAACTAAGTAGTGCAGTGGGGCTTTGGGGATCGTGAAGTGCTTCAGAAAAGTAAAAAACGTTAGTAAAACGGTTATGAAATTTCAAATTCCAATCATAAATATCTTGATAATCTAACATGCGATTGGCTTGTAAAAGTCATGGGATTCCTGACTGACCTAAAGGTTTATAATCATGATTGCAGCATGAGCTAGATCCTGGATTTTGTTTAGAATCTGAGGCAAAGTTACCCAATCCCTTTAAACATAGTTTTATTAAGAGTTGATTAGACCACTGCCATAGCCTGACTCACCCCATGCAAGATTGAAATTAATTATGCTCCGCAGACTCTCAAGCTTAGCCTAATTTTGTCAGCCACTGGCAGCATACATCATGAGCCTATCAAGTTCGTCTAGAGCAATCGTGCAAACCTTGAAGGGAATGTAAAGTTTGTGTTTTTTGTGCTAAAAATGTTTCAGCAATGCCCTGTATGAAAGTATGGAAAGACCACCTGTATATGGGGATCACAATTTCTTTTTTCTTGTTATAATGTTTCCCATGAAAATCTTAACTTACATGTAACCCTTTCGGAACAATCTTTCTACATTAGGCCATTAAAAAAAATATACATGTTTAGCGTCCCCGCCCGCTTTCTTTTTGGGGGCCGCCTCCTATTTTTTTAAATATTTTTTTTAAAATTAAAAAACAAAACATGAAAAAACACTGCCAAAATGGCTCTATTTCTGATAAAAATAAAAAAAATTGTCGGCGGCCATCTTGAAAAAAAAATAGCCCCGACTGTCAGGGAAAATGTACCGAGTGGCCATTTTGAGCGGCCATTTTGAAACAAAAAATAAAAAATAAAAAGGGCCTCCTCCTTCCTATTTTTCGAAAAAAAACAGGACGCTAAACATGTTTTGTTTTTTTATTTGGCCTTATGTGGTACGGCTCACTAAGTTTTTATTCGGAGCCCTGAAAAATATACCAGATGCATGCAAAGAAGGGGCATTATTTCTGCATGCGCTTTGTGTTCATCATTGTTATATGACCACATTGTGTTTGATATGAGAAACATTGAAAAGAAAGTTAAGCCTTAAAATCCTGAAATTGGCAACACATCGAGAGGTTCAAAATGTTTGTAAAATCATACTCTATACTATTGTCAGAGACATTACATATTTATTTGAACAATGTAGCATAAAAAGAAAAAGATTACTATTGCCAATTTCAAGAACCATTTGTGATTAATTTAGTGTTGGATTAGATCCCCACCCGCCTGTAAAAGGCGTATTTCTTGTCTCCCTTTAATCAGGTCTTGCTGTATCTAGCAAATGTTGCGATAGCTTTGAAGTGTTTGTGTATACTACTCCTACTACCTGACCCAGAAGTCTGGGCGGCTTTGATCACATACAATAGAGGAAACCTCAGGACCTTTGATCTACCTAGTCTAGCAATACAGACCTCTTTAGAAATATATCAGTTAGTGATTAGGGTCGGAAGATGTTATCGTGTGTAACAAGCGAGAAGGGCGTTCACTCTATCGATACAGCTACTACTACTTGACCCAGAAGTCTTAGTAGCTTTGATCACATACGATAGAGGAAATTTTGAAACAGATTAATGGCGCCATCCACGTGCTGTAGATCGTCGTCATCGCCATCATCATCATCATCATCATCATCATCATCATCATAATCATCTTCATCATCATCATCATCATCATCATCATCATCACCATCATTATCATCATCATCATCATCATCATAATCATCTTCATCATCATCATCATCATCATCATCATCATCATCATCATCATCATCGCCATCATCATCATCATCATCATCATCATCATCATCGCCATCATCATCATCATCATCGCCATCATCGCCATCATTATCATCATCATCATCGCCATCATCATCATCATCATCATCATCATCATCATCATCATCATCATCATCATCATCATCATCATCATCATCATCTGTCAAGAGCCAGAGGGGCGTTGTTACAGTATGAGATTTGGCTTTCTAGCTCTCAGCAGGAGATATGTCCATTTGCATTTAACGAAAGCTTTGTGAACATTTGTCTAGTTTTCTTTCATTTGTATAATGTAGAAAGAAATATTAATAAATTGTAAATAAGAATAGATATTTGTACAAGAGGTATAATGCTGTGGCGGTTCTAGGGTGCACAGGTGGTTCATACCCCCCCCCCCCCCCTTCTCTGTTAAAACCCAGATTGGCATACAGCACTGTTAATATGCCCCCTATTGGTTTTTGTGCCATTTACCAGATTTTTGACCTGGCCAACAGGCACCTGAAAATGCGATGTACTTTTTTCGTTAGTTTGTCAGAGATCTTTGATGTTTACGCCCTGTTCTGTGGAATCCTTGATGTGCCCAAGTTATAATTTGCTTATGTGCCAGTATATTTTGTTTTATAGCGTAGGTTTAAATTTGTACTGTAAAAAACAAAAACTGATTTAGTTTTTTTAATTTTTTGAAAACTCATTTTCATAGCAAATTTAAATGCTTACACAAGTGCTCTACCATGGACCTACATCCATGCTCGAACATTCAAAGTCTAGCTGCAGTAGAAGAGTAAGATTGCGTTAGGGATAGTTTGTGTTGAAACACTTTATGGTCTGGAATAGGGAGACTACAAACTTCAAGTAGTCAAGTGTCACTCAGCAAGAGAGACAGAGAAAGAAAGAAAAAAAAAGACAGAGAAATAGACAGCTAGATGGATGGAAAATAGAGCATGATACTGTACAGGACTAAATGTATTATATATGACTAGTTGTTACTAAAGTAATGAAAGAGGGATAGAAATAGCTATGGATAGAGAAGGAGAAAAAAGAGAAACAGCCAAACAGAAAGAGAAAGAAAGAGAGAGAGAGGGGGGGGGGGGGGGGGGGAGAGTGGGAAATAGCTAGATGGACGGCAAATGATAGCATGATATTGTATATGATTAAATAATGAAAGAGTAATAGAAAGAGCATAGGAGAATGAGAGAAGAGAGAAATGGCAAAACAGAAGAGAATATAAGCAGAGGGAAAGAGAGAGAGAAAGAGAGAGAATTGGGCTCTTTATGGACATGGTCTCTTTGGTAGAAAGGGGGATAAAATAATTGTGTAGATCCATGGTATGGTAAAGCAGGGTGATTGTGACCTCGTGAAACAGTGCATTGTGGCTAGCCAGGGAACGATTCCCATTGTGTACATCCTTCCACCGCCTAGCTCAACGCTTGAGTTTCACCATTGGTAGGTGGTGGTGGTAGTGGTGTTGGTATTATGGGGAGATTAGTGCGCTGAAGCTCAGTACATGAGCTGTAAACTACACTCTGTGTGTTATCGTGGGCTAACCCTTTGATAGCTCGTTGGTTCTACGTACAGTCCGTCTGGTTGTGGAGTGGGAGGCCTTCTATCCGTCGGAGCCATACAACTTCAAGCCCTGTTGGTATATCGACTTGATTGTTCCACTGGGGTATTAATGCACCAGTGTGTTGGATATGGGAGGCAGTGCAGTTGTTGTATAATCGACGCACATGGGCGATTACGTGGACTGTTGAATCGTGAGCTGAATGTAGTTGCGATTTTCTATCACTTGTGGATTCCAAGACAATAATAGCAACCGTGTTTGGGGTTTTGCTCTTACGAAGGTTTCACTTTCCATGCTGCTATCGATGATGACATTCATAACATCGTGGATGATTGCAGATCGGGGTTGACCTCGAAAAGATTCAATAGACCATTTTCGTAATGTAACCAAATTTAATGCATAGGTCTTTGTGAAGTGCCTCAATACAAATTATTTCATTCACCTGATAAGAATAATAATAATTCAATAGTCATAATGCAAACTGCATATATCAAGTGTTGCTAGGTAGGTCAAGCCATAATGTTTGTCCAACCTGGCAACAACTAATGTATGCAGTTTGGATTATGTCTATTGAAATACTATTATTCTTACCAGGTGAATGAAATAAATTGTATTGAGGCACTTTACAAAGACTTATGCGTTAAATTTGGTTACATTACTAACTAAAATGGCCTATTAAATTCAAGGTTTTTGATAGATGGCAAGGAATCGAGAAGCCGGGTCGCGGGGTCGGTCGGTGGAGATACCAGCACGCAGGATTAATAGCCTGGGATAAATGAGGCAATAAATTGAAGTTCACATAGTTCACCAAGCAAAACAAGCGGATGACATGCCAACAACCTTTTTCTGACAGCGAGGCATGTGTTGAAGAAGCACTGGTTGCTTGTGTTTAGGAGACATGGAAGATATTTGATCGGTAGACTTTGGTCTTACAGCCTTACAGTTACAGGAGAGATAATCTACATGCAGCTCAGCTCTGACTGGCCTGGCTTGTGCCTGGGATGTTAGTTTGGGAAAACACACAGATTATTAAATAGACAATTCAGACAGAGGTGGAGATAGATAAGGAGGAAAAAGATAGTGGGAATAGTGGTCTTGAAGGATTGATATTATTCTCTGGAACACCATTCGACCTCTGCTGTGTATTATTAACCCCTGGTGCCAAGGGTTATGTTTGTTGGAACTATAAGATAGGCCTACATGTCACCCTGGAATGCATCCTAACTTAGTTCAGGCTTTGAATGCTGTAAGTGAGGAGTACTGGTAGTTGATTTAGCGAACTATCCTGCAAGCTTTGGAATACCCCTAGGAACTTTTAGTCAAACAAACTTTATGTTTAACCTGTATGAACTCATCAAGCAAACTGTCCCTACAGCTTTGTGGCTTAAAGTTTGTAGCTCGAACCCTAGCTATTTCACTCATGCTTCGGATTTATTATAGGGCCACCGTTTGGCATCGTCTAAGCATTTTAGAAGGAGGGAAGGTAAACGAAGCCAGATTAATCCTCCAACTCGGTTGCAGCAACGGGACCCACCTCATATCATCAACCCGCGGGTCATTAATTATCCCGAGTAGGCATATGATTTGATTATGAGTGTTAGTTGTCATATGCCATGCTGGAGTGCACCGATTAAGGATTTAAACCAACGATGCGTGGAGGATTCTGACGCCGCATCCAGCCGAGAACTGTAATCTATCGTAATATAGCCGCATCCGTCAGCAGGGGATACAATCGCCGCCGAACAACATCCCATAACTCTCCCATCAAGATCGGCAGGAGGATCGAGTCCTCTCCATCCTAGCTCTCTCAGTTTAACGACGGATGACTTTAAACGACGGGGTGTCGGGAGGAATGCGCAAACGACTCTTATGGTCCCGTTGATCATCAGTGATACAGATACGCAAGGCCAGGCTCGGTGTTAATTGAGAAGTGTTCAGGTGGAGTATCGGTAGTGTGCAACACAGATGCCTATCTACCATTTCGATCATCGGTAAGGAATTCTGGATCTGTAAACTGACGTTTTTGTACTACAGTTTTATTTGGATATATCTCAGATTGGAATTCTGCATTGCATCTTGTTTTGTGTTTCACAATATCATGAACTTGACATTTTCAACTAATCTGAAGACAACTTACTCTTCGTAAACTCATTTTGAGGATGAGCTTCTAGCTGGTCTTACTCCCGCTTGTTTGGATGTGCAACCTGTGAGACACAACTAGATCTTTGGATGTCATCTGCTTGGAGAAAGGAATAAGGAAGCTGTAAGTGGAATAACATTGGAGCTTCTGTGTAATATAATAACATCACCTAGTGGCCGTATGGGATTGGAATATGAAGGATTTTTAAATTCAACATTTATGGAATTTGAAACCCTCAATTTCCAAAAAGGTCTGTTCTGCATATGATTATTTGTTTGTTTTGACTTAGCATTGCCGTTAACAATAGTGCTGGTAGCCTGGGAAGTGCATGTAGGTCACAGCATTCACACTTCGGAGAAATCATTGAAGTTTTTATTATTTGACGTACATGAAGTTAGCGCAAGAGGAACCCTCATATTTCTCCTATTTACCTGTAGCAGTCAAGGATCCTTAACAGAGTATTAGAATTCTGGTGCAAATATTATTCCACCGACATTTCTTGTCATTTTGTAGTGAGCTGTGGTCTCAGCTAGACAGAAATTTGATGAGTTGACCCTCAACATTTCTGACCAGAATGCAGAGTTCTTCCTCTTTTTTTTCTTGGATTACACCTAAAATGATAATTAATCAACATTCCTCCATTGGACATTTCCGGAAGGTTTTAGCGTGAAACGTTGGCTCAAGAAAGATTGATTTGTCCATTGCTTTGATTCATTGATGTATCAAAAGTAAAATCTTGTGATTATCGTTTTAAGACCTGGTATCGATCACTTGATTGAGTTCTAATTACTCTAATGGAAGCGACGGAATCCCCTATCTGAGTTGAAGCCGCAGACAAGAGCGTTTACAACCTTTCTATTTCCTCTTTCGCAACGAGATTGGTTACTTCTCATTTAGACAGACTGGTAGGAATCCCAAGGAGTGAGTGAGCGTATGGTGATTATTACATGCCGAGACTTTGGAGGAACTAAACTGAAAGTCTTGATTGGGTACCGGTAGGGATTTTAGGGGGAGTTACACGGTAAGCACAAGGGATGGTGAAAGAGTAGCCTACCGACTGAACGGTGATAGTCAAGTTCTTCCAGACGAGAGTCCGAGACCCTCATGGGTACATGCATCATTCCTGTGAGTATATCAAAATCTGTTTAACCTACTTCTTCTTATTCTTCTTCCAGTATAGTACAGACCGCCGTTTGCGTATTATATCGTACCTTGTGCTTGTCAAGTGCCGAGTGTACAGTTCAAGCACTTTCATTTCTTTCACACAAATTCTAACTTACTACAAGATATTTAGAGCACTTTGTCTTTGAATATAATATATCAAGAATATGGCTGTGATAAAATCATTAAATTGAAATTGTTTGATATTTGGTGAAACAGCATTTGCCGCATAAAACGACATCCCCTAGGGGTCTGACTAGGGGACTGACTAGGGGTCTGACGAGGGTCTGACTAGGGTCTGACTAGGGGTCTGACTCTCATTCTCACCAGACTGTATCATTTGGAGCCAGAAGAGTGTTAACTCATATACTTTCAATTAACACAAAGTTAATGCCTTTCGGGCTCTGAACTCTGTATTCAAGTTTCAATGGGCAAGGTGGTTGTATATATCCTCCCTATTTTCACGAAGTGACGGTAGTGAATGAAAATCGCATACAATTTGCGTGCAGATTTTCCTCACTACCGTCACTTCGAGAAAACATGAACGATATGTTGCAGCTATGACAGGTTTCTTCTGTGAATGTGAAAATGTAATTCATTGTCTGCTAAGAGCGAGAAGGATGTTAACTCTATGTAAAAGTGAAAGAGCTAACGCCCTTCTTCCATTGAGGAGACCAGTCAGCCCGCTGCACGCTCGCTAATGAGCATATCGTGCGAGCGTTATCGTGCGATGGAAACAGCTCGATGAATAATATCCACAAACGAGAAGTTACGAGATCGTGCGAGAATACTGGAAGGGATGACGTAGACTCTATTTTCTCGCGCATGCTCAGTTTTTGAGCAGCCATGTTTGGGTAAGTCGATCTCCAGAAAATTTCCTTTCGAATGATATGAAATGTTGATATATTTCCGCAAAATTTACGGTTTTACAGCATCATGCAATGAAGCCTAATTTTGAGAAGTTTTCGTTCCTAGTTTTGTAACTAAAATTTGTTTTCGTGAACCTGACCCGTTCGAAACTAGAAAAAGATCATTTGATGTCGATATGTGTTCAGCAATGTCTGAAATTGCCAAATCTGTTGTCCAATTTGAGGTTCCTCAACAGGAAATTAGTGAATTCTGCTTCCCAAATTCACGAGAAAATCATGTTTTCACCGGAAATACGTACTCGAAGTTGGGTGAACTGGCGCGAAATGGTCTAAAAATAGTAAAACGCGCGAATGGGCGTAGTGCTTACCGATTGTATAGTGTTGTCCCACATATAGATTTTCATGGAGTCTTCAGTGCAATTGTTGGCTCAAAGACCGAAACTATTTCATTTTCTGTTGAATTTCAGTTTCCTCATGTGTTCAGGCATCAAATGGGACTGGGATTATTAGTAATAACGTTTTTAGATTGAATTCCAAATAGGATTTGATCTAGACTTCTATTAAAAGTCAAGATGAGTCAATGCTATTGCGTATTGACCAGTAGCACTGCACTGCATAGGCAGGATTGGAATAGATCTACATGAATAGTCGATACACTCGTAACACACAGAGATGCACACAATCATGCCGATGCGGCTGATCGAAAGTTTGACAGTGGACTCACAATTTGAATTTTTAAATAATTCTTTCTAACATCGGAAAGTTGAAAAAATTGTATTTTAATGCTATGTAGGTGTCATCAATCGTCACGAAAGTACCGATTTTGAGTGAAATCAGTTGAGTGTTGTACAGTGGTGTTTGAAATGTTGAGAATCAATAGCACAGCTTTTAATATACAGCCAGGATAGTAATGCACATATATGTGTGGTCTAGACTCTAGTCAGTCTAGACTTACATGGCTGCATTAGCCATTACGACCTTGGCTGTGTATTAAAAGCTGTTCTTTTGAATCTCAACATTTCAAACACCACTGTACAAAACTCAACTGATTTCACTTAAAATCGGTGTCTTTAGTGACAATTGATAAATAGCAATAAAAAATTAAAAAATTCAACTCACCGATGTTAGAAAAATAATTTAAAAATTCAAATGGCATGTCTACCGTCAAACTTGCCGGTCAGCCACATCGTATTCATTGTGTGCATTTGTGTATATTGACTTTTACACAGACACATATTTCCCTAAATAAAAGTTAATGATAATCTGATTTGTGAAATGGGATTCCATGTTTTGCCCAGGGGTAGAGAACTAGTTCTTGCTAGCTTTTTTATTTGTTGAGGAAATCACTCTTGAATGTTTGATTTATTTCTTGTGTTCATTCTGTGTTAATTGTTTTTGTTTTTGTTTTTTTGGTTCCAGGTGCTGAGATGTACACAGGCCCTCATAGAAGTTGTGACCCCGAGCCCTCCTCTTCCAATTGACCCCCCCCCCCCTGATCTTGACCTCAAGGATGCATCCTAGAAACAAGGTAAGTTGTGATTTAATTTATTCTATTCACATGGGAATTTGTTTCCCTAAATAGCAGTCAGTGAAACTATAAAAAAATACACATACATGTATGTTCTCCCATAGAATACAGTAGTGATTTCTTACATGATAAGGAAATCTTGATGCATAACTGTTTAATGTCATGTAGATTACTTTGTATATTCAAACAACCTGCGTTGTTCATTCACTGTCTAATGTTGATAATTTTGTTCCAGGTGCGGAGCTGTACACAGTCCTTCCTACAACTTGTAGAAGATCCCGCACAGGCTTCGCAACCAGTCATGTGACCCCTAGCCCTCTTCCAACTGATCACCCCCTTGATCTTGACCTCAAGATGCCACCTGGAAACAAAGTAAGTTGTGATTTCATTTATTGCATTTACATGGAAATTTGTATCCCTAAAGAGCAGTCAGTGAAATTTCTGATTGGTGAAAAAAGTTCATTTATGTTCTCCCATAGGATAATATAGTAATTGCTCTCATTTCCTCTTCTAATACATGATTAGGAAATCTTGATGCATAACTGTTTAATGTCATGTAGATTGCTTTGTATATTAAAACAACCTGCGTTGTTCATTCACTGTCTAATGTTGATAATTTTGTTCCAGGTGCGGAGCTGTACACAGTCCTTCCTACAACTTGTAGAAGATCTCCCATAGGCTTCACAACCAGTCATGTGACCCCTAGCCCTCTTCCAACTGATTGCCCCCTTGATCTTGACCTCAAGATGCAACCTGGAAACAAAGTAAGTTGTGATTTCATTTATTTTATGTACATGGAAATTATAAAGTGCTTTCTCAAAGTAAATTCAAATTAAACTCATTTTGAATCACATTTTATTGTTTATTCTCGGAAAAAAACAAGATCCTGTTCATTAAAGTTACCATTTATTCAGTAATTATCTCCTCAATGAATGCTAACCACCATGGTAACATTATGGACTTCACGATAGCGTGTTGTTTTGTGAATGTTGACATGACATGGGCGGAGCGAGGGACTGCACAACGGCTCAGCTGTCGACTTCCCTAGAGGGCAACATGGATTTCCCCAAATGGTGTCGTTCTCGAGGGTAGTAGATGGCTGAGCTGTTTTCATGCATCGCAGCATCTCACTCCACCTGAGTGACATTATTAAATAGAAATCTTCTTCCTCAAAAACTAATAAGTGAATTCATAAAATAAAAAATCTTCATTTTGTTTCCATTACTGGTATATAAACAGTGTTCCTAGGTTGTAATCTAACCAAAGCATTGTGAAAATACAGGAAAATTATTTTTATTTGAACTAATATTATTAATCTTGCTCCTTAACTTATGAATGTCAACCGTTTGTCAAGTAAACTTTTGAAGTTGCAAGATGATCAATTAACGTTTTAATGATATATTAAGTCAGTTTTTCTTTGACTCTTATCTTATTTTCAGATTAAGCATTGTGATTTTATCACCATGAGGGATGAAGTAGAAAATTCAGCCTGTACATCACATCAATCGTTCTTGCTGCTGGGGTGAAGGATAAGTTGGCTCCTTGGCCCCATTTATGTACTATGAAATCTAATGCCCTTGTAGCTATCATTACGGAACGTAATACCGATATCTAAATGACAGACTGTATTTGTAGTGGTTGCAGAAAAAAATATGTTAGAAAATTGAAAAACCCAAAAGACACGTAAAAAAGAAATATTTATTTTATTTCTATTCCATTATGACTGTTGTGTTGATAAATTATTAAGAGATTGTGAATGTGAATTAGAATAATTCAATGCTGCATTTTCTGAAGAATGCACTTCAATTCCACCTACTATACCTTTATGCATGAAACATAGATTTGAATTGGCACATTTTGAGCAATCTAGAAGTTATCGTTCCTGTTCTGTTTGTGAAGCATTACTGACTTCTGATGACAAAACATATTTCTGTAAAGATATTCCTGAAAGTGAATTGAAAAGATTGGGTGATATAAATGAAGACTTTTCAGGAACACAAGGTCACCATATATGTAGACCATGCTACATGTATTGTATAAAGAAAAGTAGTGCTAATAAAATGTCACTTAGAAGTATGGAAAATTCGCATCAGAGCTGTGTGCTTGCATCAGATTCGGACGAAGACTTTTTACTCAAAATTCTAAATGTTTATTTGTATATATGTAGACTGTGTCTTGAGGATGGTTATTTTTATTCATAACTGTTTATGAATATTTTTCTGATCTTGTCTCAAAAAGATGTTGTGATGCGCTACAGAATGACCGTGTAAATGAAAGTCCATTATTTGTAAAGGATAAGATTATATACCAGTTCGGTGAGCTTTTGATTGTACATAGAGATGCTGGTAGGAGGGGAATATCTTTTTACAGTGCAGAGATGTATCATGATTATGTTATACGTTCATGGCATATTTCAGTTTCTAAATTGAGATCATTACAAATTGACAAGAATAGTGCCCAAGATGTGCCCAATAGACCATCCTTTTCCTCACAGTTTAGTTCACCTTCAGAGGTGAACATGCAGTTCCGAAATGTTGTCAATAACGGAAATGAATTTCTCTGTAAACAGGCGAAACACTTTAGTTGGAATATTTAACTAATCCTTTATCTGTCACTGATTTTAACTTTGACAATGTATGTTGCTTCTACCGGTAGTGATCATGTTCACCTTGCAGCCTGTGTTCTTTCAGCATTTCTTTCTTTTGCTAAATATAGAAAACCACTTACCAGTATGTATTCATCACATGTATGAATGCAAACATGTGTTATGCACAATACTCTTTATCTGATTTAATGCTCCATTTTGTTTGTATTACATATTATATTCTTTTTTGTTATAATAGTTTATGTTGCACACTTACCGTATTCCTTGTACAGTCTTCTAATATATATATTATGGCAGAATGTAGCATGTACACATGAGCAACTTAAGTTATTTGTGTTATAACATTATTAATTTAACTTAGGATTTTTGTATTTTCCGTGCTTTAGTGCCTTAAACTAGCCAGTACTGTGTGTGTGTCCCAGCTGGACTAGCTTATGAATAATAATAATATCTGCCAAAACATGTATTTTTTTAACCTTGCCAAGTTGTCTCTTGTATTCAAAGAGAAATAAAAAAATAAAAACAATTGTTCAAAAGAAACATCCCGTTTGTGTATATGCGTGAACTGTATGACTGATCAGAGGACTGTGTTTCTTTATTGAAGGCGTTACTTTGTTAACGGGAATGTCAACCTCAATCCTTTGCAGGACCAAATTCATGAGTGACTTCAGTTCGCCTTGTAAACAGAATGACTTGAATATTGCTTTGCCCTCCGAATTTCAAAGGTTTGAAGGGAAAATTGCCCCCGTGTATTTTTAACTTATTTATTTGTGTGTAGTGTCAATCACTGCATTGGACACCGACATGTTCACATATCATTTCTTGGGAAGAAAAAAACAACAATTAAGCAGAGAGATGTTGGACTTTACATTCCTGGCGTATAGTCTATAGTATAAAGTGCAATATTATGTTTTGCAACTTTGTACTAACAACTGTGAACTTCACCATGCCACTAATAACCGTGAATAATAATGGGATTTTTATTTATTTTTTCTTTAGGTGATAAATTCGATGACAATTGCATTTTGCTCAAAATCGCCTACCCACACTGCACAGCTGAACTCGCTGATTCAGACATCGGTGAAGTCGTATAATTTCGTTACACAAATTTGTATGGGTGGGCGCATACTATTCTTCAAATTGAAATTTCTTGAAACGAACACTAAATTTTCCAAAATCAATCGTATCACTACCCATAGTTAATCTTAGTAATCGATAAATACCAAGATAATTACATGAAATAGGGTTAAAATGTTGAAATAACGCCATTATTCGTGCCTAGAAAACAAACCGCGAAGTCACAAGTTCGTTCACCTTTGACGAGTGGTCGTTCGGTAGGTGATCGGAAATCTTCGTATTCATGTATCTTCTTAATGTGGAACTATTTTTTAAAACCGTGAACTTGACCCGTTCGAATCATCAAATAACCTGATCTTCACACCATACAAAGAATGATGTCTAAACTCTCCAAAAATATAAAGATTGATGAGGTTCCTACTCGTTTTATACGTTTTTTATGCATTCACTTTCATCATAAACTCGATGAAAATACGGAAAAAGTAAGCTTGTACTTGACAGGAAATATTTCATAGGGTAATGGAGTTCAGTTTATTTCTAATTCAGATAAATGAAAGAGCAGTTTCTTGTCTTCAATTTGACATATCGTTCATGCTAAATGATTAGCAAGAAACCATTTTGTGTAGGTGGAAACAAGTCGGTGTTTTCAAGCTCGTGTGCTCATTACGTATTCATATTGACCGCTGGGCTTGCATACGAGTACGATAAATACGGGCGGTTTTCGTGCAGCGGCGTACTGACTGAGACAGCATATAAGTACTTACATTGTATCCCTCATCTGTGACTACTTCTCTCAATTACATTCACCATTTATCATTAAAACAACTCTCCTTTCACAATAGCCTCTTAAATGTTGCTTTTATAGCATCAGTATATACTCTGCAGTTCAAAACCAAAATGTCAAAATATGATTATTTTGCTTTCTATAGAAAAAAAGGAATTCCCTCTGTGACTCTGTGGTTTTAAAGAATAAAAAATGTTGTGTGTAATATTAGATGGTAGCTCTGCCAACGTAGTAATGAACCATATAAACGACACATGCACATGATGGTATGCAGAGTACTATAAAACCAAGCATATAGCAGCGCTGAGGGGGTATATAGCGTGTGCCATTCAATATTTCAACTGCGTTGGAACCTGGTTTCGTATTTTTTCCCCCCGCTGGGGTCAAAGGTCGTGGGGGTAAAGAGTGTGAATTGGATGACATAGTTCTGGGCTCTGTCAACAAGACTTTACTTCCGAGTCCTCTCTATCTTTGTTTGTTGACGAATTGATAGTCTCGACTCCTGGCTTTTGCCATGACTGAAGTAGCAATTCTCATCTTCTTTTTAAATATATTTTTCCTGCACATATTGTTCTTTGTGTTTAGAGTTATTTCTTAGCTTTTGTAGAAGTTCTCCTTTTCAGATTAGTGTGAGTTTCTATCACTGCATGGAAGTAGAGATATTCCAATTCTTTGAAAAGTGTAAAAGATATTTCCTTATCCTTATAGCCTACTGATATGGAAGAGCCTATATCATATATAAATTAAGGGCATCACAAATAAAGGGCAGCATAAATTAAGGGCAACCTAAAGTTGCAGAATAAATAATTTTCACTTTTCAATCCTAAATAAGCCCCAAACCACCTTTTTTAGTGTTGAAAATTGTAGGATTATGTTTTTTTCCAATCCATCCTTATTGACGGATATTCTATTTCCCTGCTTGAGTTGTTTTGATACTCCCACCTCAGTCACAAGTAGACATTTTGCAAAACCAACCACAAAACGGTTGCTATCACTTTACACTATGGTTGAGAAACTGAGAATAATGTAGACAATGTTTGCTTAATCGGTGGGAAAGAAAGAAAGAAAGGGAAAACCACCTTTCAAATACCACTTCAATAGATGACTCATACTGCGTGGTATTCATCCATGTTGAAACTGAGTAATGGCTGGCATGTGGTTTAGTATCGTGTGTGGAGTAATGTTCATCGATTAGCCAAATAGAATTCAGGCACGTGTAGAAGGGGATTTTGATGTTTAGATTATTTTCTAAGTGGTAATCACAAGATCTTATCTCTCTTCACATTCACAACCTACTAGAATACAGACAACATATTAAAAAAGGAAATGAACAGTGGCCTGGCATCAAATAGAAATTGTAATATAGATGATTTACAATGATGATTTGTGTGCAGATATTCATCTTGGTAATGAGAGAACTTTGAATGTGAGCATAACGTGCTGTTGTTTATAAGAATTCTTTTCCTGTTTTCTTTTGAATGATGATTTTTCATGATGGGGGTATTTCTTTTTTTTTAATTTAATTTATTTATTTATTCATTTATTTATTTATTTTTATTTTTTATTTATTTATTTATTTATTTTATTTTTTTTTTTTTGGGGGGGCTTCTTACCTAATAGAATCCAACTCGTAAAATTATAAGTGTCATTTTTATTGGTCCATGTGCATTGCGAAATGATGCTTGTGAAGGGGATTATGCGCTCTGTGTTTTAGAGATAAATTTGTTTACATTGTCCTCCGGGTGTGTCGAAGATGTCCATTGAAGGCATTTAAGATTAATTGAACGCTATACCGGTAATTAATAATACCAGACAAAGAAGAATGAAGCAAAATTATGACTTAACTCCTGCACAGCACTGCCTGGTTTCAGTAAAAGATACAAATACACACGCGAACACGATTCTGAATGAAATCAGTAGCGTAACTCGTTTTGGAATTTGGAGTGGATCGAGTTTAAACTTTCATAGTACTTACAAATTTTCTGGAAAAATGTAGTACATGGCCAGCAAAATATTTGATGTTTCCTTTTTAAGCTGAAAATGATTTTTTCCAGTCTTTCTTCAAACATTTCAAAATAATTTTCATGGCTTTGTTTTCCTACATTCTAAGATTAATCTTGAAACAGTTCAAATACTCTTACGACCTTGTCAAAATAATTGATACATTCAAGTTCATTTGATGAAAAGAATTTTTTATCCCATCATGTTTTACTTGCAATTTTCATAACTAAATATAAGTAAGCCTTAATGGGTCACTTGCCAGTGGCTTGACCATTGCTCAGTGCATCAGTTGATGGTGGCAGGGAGGTTGTCATTAAAATGACCCCTGCTGTTCGGATACAGTAGGCTTGTCCCCATCAGCTTGAGTTTTCCAAATAGCCCGCTATTTCTGATTCTGACAATTAGCCTGAAGTTACAAATTGCGTCTTCATCAGCTCCAAACTCGAGCTCAAGAAAGTTTGCTCAGTGTTTGCGCATAGTGCAAGTCTTCGGGCTGGTGAAGATGGACCGGACATATAACGGGCTATTTCGCAAACTAGTCCAAGATATCTTGGGAAGATTTCCCAAGCCCGCTATTTGCGTCTTCACCGGCCAAATAGCCTGCTATATCGTGATCGGGTTAATTTCCAGAATCGGAAATAGCAGGCTATTCGGCAAACTCTTCAGCGAACTGAAGCTGATGATGACGGACCTAGTGAAAAGAAAGTGTTCAGCCGTGAAAGAATGTATTGATGAATTGCAATCAATGACCTCGAAAGGTCAAACTGTGTAGAGTTTGTATTGATTGATATCGTTTTTAATCTAGTCAGATCACCTCACACCAGACATACTGAAAGGTCTAGGTATGTTACTGCTTAAAATAAGCTTTAAAAGAATTATGGATCCTGTAATACTATTGTGCACCCAGCAGAAAGCATTCGTACAGCTACCAAATATATATATTTGGGGGGGGGGGGATTAGGGTCTACAGATTCCTTTTGGGGGCTTTACATTATTATAAACCCTTGAAGAGATTCTTCCATTCTTTTTTAATTTTTGTGTAAGAGCATTTTAAAAATGCACTGTATCCCCTTTAGCTTTTTGAGAGATTCTTAGTTTTTGCAAGTATGAGCAGGACACCAAAATGAATTTGAGTACCGGTAATACTTATTTTTTTAGTTACATGCTGTGTGGAGGGAATTAACTTCAATGTCATGCCAGCATGTACGGTGTAGTCGAAATGACTGCTTGTACATGAAGTTGAAAACTTGTAATTCTCGTTGTTTTGGTCCCATGTGAACCCTCATCAACCATGATCATTGTTTTTAAAGAGAAGGTTGAGTTTTGGGAAGAGGTGAAAAATAATTTGTGAGCGTTATCATTCTTATTATGTAAGTGTGGAAGAACATCAGATAAGACATGTTCCCTGAAAAGCATGGCTCTTCAAATGCCTTCATATTCTAAATATGTCATGTAACATCGTAAAACTCGGGGGTGGGATTTTTACGCCACGTGCTCATGTAGTCCCATATACATCTTTCTGTGTACAGTGTTTGTAACTTTACCAAGACTGGGCCAAATTTCTTAGTATTTTGATGATTCCAGAACCTTGCAATACACACAAATTCTTATATGCTAGATGATCAACCTTTTCTGGTCGATTCCACACCGTTTCTTTCACAATGCAATTGCATGACCA